CCTGAAGAGGTAGAGAAAAATCGGAAAATAATACAACGGAAACCTGTTGGAAATTCCTACTGAAGTTCGTGCAAAATGAAAAAAATTTTAACACGAAATTTCCTTATGATTTGCAAAAATATAAACAGTGGGTGGTGGTCCCTAATTAATGTTGCAAATAAAAGAAACAACTGGACAGCTAGAACATAAGAACAAATATATAATTTGCTGCCAAAACAATAGTGTCCATTCCCCTTTAATCCTTGTGTCAACCATAATAAAACTCCACTTCGTTTTCTCCTAGGGGCTAAAAACGTAGCTTTATAATACCTTATGTTCATATCTTGTGCTCATTTATAAAAGCTCCGAGAACTGGGGCGGTTATATGAAAGTCCAGAAGCAACTTTTACATGGCACTCAACAAATTAGGAGTCAGTTCATTTTGCACGAGCGATCGAATGTCGATCGGAGTTTTAGTTTCAACAAAGATGGCTGTAACATGACGCCGTCAAATTAAGTTTGCCGTGCGAAGAGCCTACCCTTTGCGATTCAGTGTGGTGCATCAGTCGAGTGTAAAGCAGAAAAATTATGGTAAAAGCAAGAAAACGTGACTATGCTTTTCATCAGCTCGGATGTCTGGGACACAATCTCGGTAGCTGACATTTGATTTCCCCTGGGTGTTTTGTCGGTTTTTTTATGACACCACACCTTACGGTTGGCGTCCTCTCCTTCAGTCTGCGGTCAGCAAACTTGCTGACGATTTAAAAATTTTGACGTTTTTACTAGAAACAGTAGCTACTTAAAACAATAATGATGTCTTTATGACATCAACCATTGTGGTTACGTTTAAAATAGTTAAGCTTCACATGAATCATGGGCAGTGACTGTTGCAGCATAGATGTTACATATGGGGTCGACTAAGGGTTCCTCTCAAGCTTTGATATTTGAAGCAAGTTATATTACGCAAACGGTAAAACATCAAACGCAGTAGAACAGATTACTTTGAAATCTATTTTATTATGGATTAATATGCGGACCATCAGATTTGTTCTAATTATAAATGCACATATATATGACATGATTAATTATAACATGTAAAGTTGCACAGATTTCAGTGGATAAATTAATCCAAAAAATCGAATTAACCGTGAAAGATTGTAAAGCCAAAAGCCATGAAAATAATCCCCAGCAGTGATGGACTGATGGAGAGCTTGTGTCAATTTGATGTACAGGTTGATGTAGAATAACAGTACAATGAAGGGGTGTATGGAATCACAATGAATGCATTACTGCGTACTGGCTGCAAAGTGGCTGACAAAACTCCAGGCTAAATATGATGTAAGCTAATAAATATCAACTATCTATTGGTGTAACCCAAACCAGACACACGAACAATGATAGCAGATTTATTTGCAAAGTGGAGAAAATGGGTTATGAAAATTAAAGCGTTTCGTTTATGCGGATTTACATACATACGTAATTCATTATGTGTATTATTATGTATGCGATAATTTCTACGTCTGTTATCGATTGGCAGTCATTTTCGTCAGGATGGGTAGCAAGCGCCTAAATATGTGTGTAGTATTCGCGCATGAATCAGTCTAAATAAAACGCTGCTTTACCAGGAAGTTCAGAAGATTTTATTCTTTATATAATCACGTGTTAATATACGAAACATTGTAAAGTGCATTTTCGCAAGGTTTTAAAACACAAACCGTTTTTCTTAAAAATTGCATATATGATTTATTTCCAGTCTATTATAAGTTAATTTTCAGGGTAATTCAGTGTAATTTAGTTTGAGTGTAGAATACCCTCCTTTTTTCCGCACTGTTCTCTCTTTTGCCCCTACGTGATTAGAGAACAAATAACCTGCCTAAAAGACAGCTTTCTATGATGGATGCAATGGTCACATGTTCCGTAACATATAGTCCACTGGACAGATATAAAAAAGCAGAAAAAGAACATGTTTCTTATGTAGTGTTATGGCCGAGCAAGTGGAAATGCGCCATGGTGAAACCGATTTAGGAAGGTGGCGATCCGAGCAAGGTGTACGACTACCGGCGTTATGCCTAACTTCTGTTTTGACTAAGACATTAGCGGAGATCGTGAAGCGTTGTCTTCTCCAGCATCTTGAGTCGAAAATCATTTTGACGCTAGCGCAACATGGTTTCTTGAATGGTACGTCATGCATCACAAATCTGCTGCTCTCGAGACACGAATGGTTATAAGTGCTAAACCAAGGGAAGTCGGTTGACGTCATTTACATCGAATTCAGGAAATCATTTGACAAGGTGAACCAGGAGATCCTGCTACGGAGGCTGGAGATGTGCGGTCTTGGTTGCTCACTGCACCGGTGGATCAGTTACTTTCTTATTGGTCAAAGATGTATGGTGCATCTGGACCACCACTTTACCGAGTGGTGTCCATCGACCATTGGCGTCCAGCAGGGCACAGTCCTTGGGCCAATTTCGTTCCTGAAGCAGAGCAACAAGTTGCCTCAGCTTCTCAGTTCATCTTACGAGCTGTTTGCAGATGAGCTTTAGGTATGGAGGGTTATTGAGTCGCCCTACGACTGCGACCTGCTTCAGCGTGACCTTAACCGTCTCTCCATGTGGTCATCAAAGGTCAACTTTCCGATCAAATCGGTCAAGTTGGTATCCATAAGCCTGGGAGATGGCGGTAATGGCCGAGTCTACAATCTGGCCGACTAACAGTTTCACCTATAGCCATCTGTGGTAGATCGGCGTACTCTCACGCTGCGATTTGAAATCCGTTGAAAACACTTACAGGTTTTACCAAAACAGAAGGCGCGTGCCCTGGGCGCTCAAATGCATCTTCTGCACTTGATCCGAAGAAGTTGTCACCCGCCACTTTGCTTCTATCATCAGACCAATGCTAGAGTGCAGCCCATCTGCGGTGAGGTGCATATGAACGAGCGGGTACAGCATACGGCCACAAGGCTCATCCCCGTTTTGCGAGGTGTATCATATGAGACCTGTGCAAGAGACTAGGGTTGCACACCCTGTTTATTGTGTAGATTCGTCACAGTTAGACACAGACAGACAGCCACCACACATCCAGGAAAGCGCTAGACGGCCGTTTCCTCCTATTGGGACTCGTTAATAGCGCGCAATCGCCGAATCCGATGGGATTCGAACCCTCGACCTTACTCTTGCGAGTCAGCGACTTATGTCACTGAGCCAGTCACTGGGTCAGCCCTGTCCTCTACACATCCATAACATGCAAGACAGTGGAGGATGAGCCGTGCTATATCGAAGTTAGATGTCAGTTATGGTGGTCAGCTGCCGTCACCCATGGCTCAGTGACATAAGTCGCTGACTCGCAAGAGTAAAGTCATGGATTCGAATCCGGTTGGATTCTGCGGCTGCGCACTACTGACGAGTCCCAATAGGACGAAACGGTCGTCTAGCGCTTTCCTAGATGTTTGGTGGCTTTCTGCCTGTGTCTAACTGCGACGATTCTACACGCAAACCTAACGAATTCCCCTCCTACTTACAAACCCTGTTTTATCGTCGAATGCAGGTTGACGTCATCATGACGCACGGGATATTACATCTCGGTGAATACCTCATGTTGACGCTGCTGCTTCATCTGCGCACACCTAGCTGAACATGATGACAACGGTACAAGCTTGTCGTACTGGATTTGAAGCGGGTGGCTCACCAAATCTGCGTCCAGCGAAGGGTGCTGAATACTTGGAAGAACCTGCCTGCAAGATCGAGGCAAGGTCGGTGACCGAGTTTAAGAAACTCCTGGACCCGCTCTTTGCTTAAAACATGTTAGATGTAGCTAAACAGAGGTATCTCTACTCACCAGATTTTTTCAGTATTCAGTATTTCCTTTATCAAGATTTCATTAAAAAGATTACGACCGCTCAGAAAATCATCCACGTCACGCTATACATATATATATACATATATATATATATAACTAGGAAGATACCAAGATTACAGCAATGTGCTCTTTGCTGTAGAGAAAGAACAGAATATGGTACTCGAAGTATACAAAACTGAATGTGCAATATACACCCCAGCTAACGTGACTGTTTAATTTTATGGTACCTACCAACAACAACTACTAATGGCTGCTACTGTTCTCCGGTAATTTTGACATTGTGTTAAGGACGATTAAACTTCCATGCAGGACATTGCTGATTGAAGATCATGTGTTTTCCGAAATTACGTTTACCCAGTGGCAACGAGAACCCTGTCACGAAACCGCATATTTCTTCATGGAATCATCTACGTGGCGTCCGCATAACGACAAAACTTATGGTGTTGGGTGAAATCGCATGCCCCACGTGTTAAAAGAAAGACGCAGTTAACTTGTGTGGACAAAGTTTGCGCACCTTAACCTGATGCAGCACAAGCGCTCGCACTAATGGTCAACTTTTCTCAAGCCACTTATTGGTGGAGCGGTGTTTAGTTTTGTTATGTTTAGCGCTGGTCTTAGTTGTCACGTATCCAATGAATATTGTTTGTGAGGGAACAGTCGATCTGAATTCTATTCAGTTGTAATGTGTTTTTATTATGGTACATATTGATCAAGGGTGATAAAACATATAGCAATCTAATCGAGACCAATACAACGTATTACTATGTTTGTTCACACGGTTCAAATTGTTTACCTTGAAATCAACGCACACGATGTCGCTGAAGACCTATTTGAGGTCTCATGTGATATATACGATCCAGGCCTGGCGTCCCTGGCGCAGGCGCGACGTCGACGCACTTAAAGCTCCGCAACGTAAAGCGACCAAACTCGTTAGAGGATCGTTTCATCACTCTTTCAACACAGAATGTAGTCCCTGAGATTGTACACTGGCGAATATCGACGTCAGCGAGGAGACCTAATACTGGTTTACTTAATATAATATAACATATATAATATATATATTATATATAATATTAACTCACCCATGTCGCAATCTGTTGCAGCTGAGCCGAAATACCAACTTGAGAGGTCATAAACTCAAACTGGCTACGTACTACAGTCCACTTGATTGTCGACGAAACGTTTTCTCCCTCCGTGTCTACCGTGCCTGGAATGCCCTTCTGACTCACATTATCCTTGCCCATACATTAACGCTTCACAACAAACGCCTTGATGAAGCGCTTTCAAACTTTCATTACTTGTTATAGTCCTTTCCACTTGGAGAACGAAACAACACAAAGCTAACCATGTGCTTAACGGCCCTCTCCGCAACGTGGCAGCGAGGATACATGTAGTGGTGTCCATATGATTAGTCGGGAGGTGGCTAAACTGGATTAAGCTATCACATCTGTCAAGTGAAGAAACAAACGAGTGAGCGCTGTCGTTTACTCTTTTATTTCTCATGCACTTACTGATCTTTAACAGTTCTCTATATTATTTTGCGTGTGCACATCCCATTCCAAGTTCAGACAATCGTTATACAGTAGTACATTTAACTCGGTGGACGCTAGAAATAAAGATTTACTTATTGGATGATCCTTCAAATTGTAATTTTTATTCCATCCATTCTACGGGACTTGTCAAGCACATGCTTTTTGCCAGTGATATATCATCGTTCACTGTTCAAGCAGACGCTGAGTCACGATTTCTTTCCCGAAGGAACTCATCTTACCAGGTTAGAAAATGAGGTTATGCATAAAGAAAAGGTTGCAGTCACAGCAACGTAACTATATTGATTATGGGGTACACATAGCTAAAGCAGCACAGCAGAAGGAATTTTGAGGTTCTGCCTGGCATATGGAATACGTTATCAGGAAATGATACGTAACTAATATATCCTGCAAGAATCTTGTAAAATTATGAATAACGTATCTCAGTTTCGCTTCTAGATTGATTTGCATAACTTTACTTGCATCTGGACATGCTTTTATTCTGCCCAACTACAATGTTTATTATATACCACGCACACAGGTATGAACGGTTACTAAGTACATATTACGGCTTGAAATAAGTGGGGTTTTGCTTCAAGTTCCGTACACTGCCATGCATTGCGGGAACACAGGTCATTTGACATTTTCGCTAAAAGTAGATTAAGGAAAGCCAGTTGGTGTGCGCAAATCTTGTGTGAACACTGACTGTTCCTGTGATACAAGTGGTAAGAATATTCATGGCATTTGATCGATAATACATCGCCGCCTTCACCAATTAATGGATGAAAGAGAGTAGTGCTAATGCTGCAGATAGGAGGTGAAATGTGTTTTCCCGAATAAAGTTACGTACGGCTAAATTAAGTGGTCGTTTAATTCCACAGTCTTCCGTATTAAAAATATATGAAAATATGGCAGGTGTATTTAATGAAATCCAGAAAAGTAATAAAATTATTACAAAATAGTAACAGCACTAAGGATGGAAACACCTTATCGAGTAGAGCTTAAAATTTGTGATCAGCCAAATGACTCGGCTCCAATCTGTGGGAAATTGGCAATTTAACGGAGGCGACTTAACCTTCGTAATTTCTATACCCTCACTAACTTGTCTCTAGCACATATCACGATTATGCGAATAAAAGAATAGCTGCCTTGGCAAGTTGCAACACAATACAAGACTTAAAACTATTTTGCTTATAAAGATTCAACCGATCAATCACACATATTAGCAACGAATACAAGCTTTACTCACCCAACACGTTGGTGCCGCTAACATAATGGGGCTTTATCGTCTCGTATGATTGAAGTTGTTCAGCCACTGCTCTAAGCAAATCAGTAGCATTGCCTGAAGTGTTGTCCACTTTCACGTACTTTGGTTTCTTGACGACCGTGACAAATTGGCTCTGGAGTTGCTGCAGACATGCTTGAACTATGTTCTCCGGGAACAAGTTTCTGATGGAGAATATAACAGAGTAGACCTTCTGGTTTATTATCTAACATGGTTAAAACATACTGCGCAGTTAAATGAGATGTGAAATTGAGCTATCATTTAAACTGTCAGTTACCGTACTTGCTGACACGTGTGATGGGTAAAAGCTAATGGACTGAGAAAGCTCCTAAATTATCCGTTTTATCCATACAGAGAGAACTGCAGTCAAAGCATGCCAATATAAAATTCAGGTGCCCGAGTTGGCTCATTTTTAACATTTGAAAACAGCTACCGCGAATTTTCTAAAATAACACCATTGAAGACGTAAAACAGTGTAAAAGATTAAACGGCAGTTGAAGCTTAGATGTCACTCGAATGAACGGTTTGAACCGCTACTTACTACCAAGGATATATAAAAGCACAGTTTCTAGTGCTGGGCTATCATTCTTCAACTTACTATATACATGTAGATACCTTCGTGTAGCAGCCTACTTCCTCAACATGCGTTTTCAAAATAGTGACTTAGAGCGGCATCAGTCATTTGGTGAGAAAAATATTTAGTAAATGATACACTAGAAGCAGATTGAATAGAGACCACGTTCCAGTGGAAAGGAAAATGAGAAAATAACAGAAAACTAAGAATATTAAGGGCTTATTTAATCTGCCATGAAAACTAAGACTTTAAGCCCGAGGAATGAACAGAGGGTTACTGTGGGTCAACCTGACTAGGACGTATCAAAACGTTTAAGACTCAGGTAACGTTTGCCGCCACCTGAAATTTAGCCGCAACCCCAGACTGTAAGGCCACCAGCTGAAACTGGCCAAACAACATATTCTGCTGTAACGTTGCCGGAATTACATTGCCCTTGGAATGCGTCAGCTGTGGAACGCTTTTCCGAATTTCGTCATTTCTGCTTCGAAGTTAAATTTTAGTAAATAGATAAGACGATGCATTACACCAATTACTGCAACTGAGCAGCTACACAAAGCCTACAGGCCACTACTTGAAATTAGCAGAACAGTACAGACGTCTGGCGTACCGTCGACATTTCTTTTCCATTCGTGTGTGTCATCCATGAAATCGTCTCCCCAAATCAGTTGTTTCTGCACCCATGCTAACCATAGTTAAAAGTCGGTTGGATGACACACTCCGCCAATTACTTGTTGTTACCTGACGCTACTCTCCATCCTACTCCCTGTAATACCTGGCAATTCTTATTTTACCTATTAAATGTATGGAAACACCTGGAGTACAAGACTACCTCATTACATACGGTAAGTCCATTCTTTTGACAAAAGAATCAATGACTACAATTTTTCTTTAACCTTTTTCAACAACTCACGGGCTACCCAACTTGGCTTGTAAAGCAGTACTTCTTGCACCGTATGAAAGCATGGTTCATTGTGATATGAATTCCGTTCGAGTGAAGACAAGACACAGAAAGACGCTGTGCTCACCAACCCATAATATTTTGCAGTAGACGGATTCAAATGCGTATAATGTGAATATTACTGTGAGTCTGTATATTCGTTCTTTGGCTTGCGGTTTTTCCCACGACCCATCACACAATACATATAAAGCCTTGGATTATACCACAAGTTTACACCATTGTTCCATTGCTTAATGCGTGAAACCAACACAACAGCGACTGCTAATGCGCTAAACCTGGGAAGTTAATAATTCCCGGGGTGTGGATTGGACTCTTGGTTTCAGATTCATTCAGAACTCAGAGCACATTAGCAAATTCTGGCTCAACAATCCGGGCTATACGTAACGAACATGGATTTCTCTTATAATGTCTTCTCATCTGAACTTGAACTTGAAACACAGGTGAGGATCTGTACCTTATGGGTTAGTTACATATCAGTCGCGTATATCACGAAGAACGTAAATGTGTTTCCAACGTTTTAATATTTGAACAAACAGGCAGCCTTCAAGGCTTAAATCGTTGCATCGGATTTCTTACATTCTGCTGATGATGCTAAGAGGTGGTTTGCGATTCCCTACCAAGGAGACCATGATGCACGTCGGAGAGACCTAGACAGGGCGTATGGATAGTCATTCCACAAACTGCTCCCGTTTAATTCGTCTAAGTGCAACATGTCCAAATTCGTCATCAGACGAACATCATAAACAACTTGGAGGCCATAAGCTGCAAGCAGTCACCCAGGTAGGAGACATTAGAATATTATTCCAGGCTGATCTGGGCTGCTCGGTATAAGCTAAGAAAGTGTCAAAGACTGGGAACTAACATGTTAGCATGTTGTGGAGGGTATTCGGGCGGTTTGATCCCTCCATTTGTTCGCGGTTGCCTAACACATTCGCTCAGTTTCATGTTGAATGCGCAGTCCAAGCCTAGCAGGCTGGCACAAGCAAGCTCCCACATGGAATTGGACTCCACAGTGAAGTCACAAAACGCGTCAAACGGTTGTTCCATCTTCCCTAGTAACTGAAGTTGAGGAATCTAAGAATATACGGAGCTGGTATTTGCACCTACGTGGCGACATAAAAATGGCCTACCAGATTTTGTTAGACCCCAACCACTCTGCTGTCAACTACTGCAACTCAACCACAAAACGATGTTGAGGAACCACCATCTCAAATTGTCCAGGCAACAAAGCCCGCGAAACTTTGACTCTCTTTGTGTCTCCGAGCTTTCAAAAACCCTTCCAAATTACGTTGCATCTGCCCCCAAATTAGCGGCCTCTTTAAAACGGCTTGACGTTGTCATAACCCTACTACATTAAGCGGTATAACCCGTATGTCTTGACAGAAGATGCTGCACGACCTCCACTAAACATCAGGAACGAGGTTCACTGTTTATTCCATGCCTCTGTGGACGCTGTGGTGAGTCCACCAGAATGATTTTCATTTCATCACTTTGGGTCCCATACATCAGGTTGTGGTTTTTATAGTTGTCATTCTATGGGTCTTGTTAAGCATATGCTTTTTTAACCGTTATATGGTTGTTTCATTTTTTTAGGAATGTTGGTCTACGAAGGTAAGTAAATGCCCAAAGTGCTATACAACGTTAGGAGGCATGCGAGCTATCCACCGATCTGCAACCGAAAGATCCACACGCGAGCGTGATGCGATAACGTAAGGTCGTTGCTTTATTGGACGTACATACAACAGCATCTGCATGTCGTAGACTAATTTACTCAAGCTAGTTAACAGATGTCAGGTAGCGTAATTATAGGTAACGTCACGCTTACATGATTAAAATTTATAAGCTAGGTGGATTTATCTTTGTTCTACGAGTTGACTGATTGGCTTCCCGTTGCAGGTGCTTGATTGATCGGGTTAAGCTTTGAATATCGGGCCTCAGTGAACTCAGTCGCTTAGAGGTGTTTCGCTCGCCTGAAGCGCTTTGACTTTTTACTGATCTGATTGAAGTTTTTAGAATTTATACACTCTGACGCCAACGATATCCGATTCCTCCGGTGAAGATATAGAATACGCCGATTTAGTATATGCCGCGTTTTCATCCAGCTTCTCCTAAGTCATATTCCTAGCAGTTTAAGCAGCGTTCGTTTTAATGGTGCCAATTTGTCACATGAATTAGCAACACCATATTCATACATAATTTATAAGGTCAGTAAATTACCTTACCTTAACAAATCTAGAAAGGAGTCCAGTGTTTCAGGCCTCCGTTCTTCTATTGTGCCCTCACCCATGGACTGTTTGATGCTCGAATTGCCCGGACGGATGGATAAAACCAAAGCAATGCCCAAAAAAACCGCAAGCATAGTGGTTACCACGTAGTAGATCAGTGCATAAGTTCCGATCTTTCCACTCGATTTCGGATCCAAGCCAGCTAGACCTATGAACATAAATGCATGACAGCCAGTTCGAAGCGTATAATTAGATGAGCAAGTTTTGCCAAATTGAACATGACATGCTTTCGATAATTTTGTTTAAACCAACAATCTGCTGATAAATAAAGCTTAACAGTACAATACTACTGGTGAGACCAAATATATGTCCGCCGATTGTTGCTTGGATGCATCAATGCTGAGCGGGGCACAGGATAACTAAAACCATCGGCAAAATGAAATGGTTGAGTTAACGAACAAAAATAAAGTTATGCAACTTATGCAAGGGATGGTTGCATATGTATCTAAAGCGTATGTTTTGTACTGTATAATGATATGCTTTATTTTTGTATTGAGAAGTTCAATCCAGGCCTTTAGATACTTCTTAAATGTATAGGAAGTATGCTTAAACTATCTCTTAATTACCTCTTAGTTAAACAGCTGACGTTTTAGAATTTAATCCATGATTATCTAACGGCATCAAACTAGAAGCTTTTGATATTTGTTTCAACAAAACTTACTAGCATGACATGTATAGAAACGCCTTCTACACACAGCTTTGTATTTTATTCGGTGCAGAACTTTAACGACTTCCAACATAAAAAATTAAATATTGTGGCATTTTGCATCTCAGATCAAGTTTATGCTCTACAGTGCTTGGTGTTTATATTAAATGCCAATCGGTCTTCAGCGTTAGATCAATATGCCTTATGGGAGCACAACAGCATTGTAAACTTTTGACCTGTAGACCTGCATGACACATCTAATTGACCTTTCATCGGTCCGACGAAAGCCATCGTAGTTCCGGTGCACAAAGGAAGTCGATTCGCACTTTCCGACAGGCCAGGACGGACAGACGATGCTAGTTACGAAAAGTACAAAACAACAACTTAAGCACTGTAAGATGTCACTGACCACAACAATACACCGCGCTTTTAGGTGACCAAATTGACCGAACTTCAGTTTGGATGGAAATTTCGCGACATAGTCCATCTGATCAAAACAGTGTTTCGCAGATAAATTGACACAATCCTGCCAATGGTGATAAGCTTGTCGGTGGTGAATCAGCATGGAGCATAGCAGCGGCAAATTGATAGTAGTAAATAGATACATGATTTATTCCCGATGGTGCGAGACACGCCTTCAGAAGCCCGATCATGGTAATACAAACGCGTAACATAAGTAATGGTATAGAACTGTTACGAGTTAACCAGTACATACTGCATATATGTGTGTGTATGTGTGTAGTATACATGGGTGCATGTGCAGGTCATAGGGTTGAGTGAAATTTTACTCTTACTATGAATTTGTGAGTTTGTTTGGTGAACTCGCTAATATAAGAAGGAATCAGAGGAAAAGTTTGAAGAGGCTGACTTTCGCGAAATGTGTAAGATCCTCTCTTATCCTAAGACAGTGACTAATTAGTAGCGAGTCATATCCTCCAGGTCACAGCGTTGTTAAGCAAATGTCGCTTTTTATAGGAGGACGCTTGTCAGAAGAAAACCCACCAAGTGCTGGAACACTGTCGCCGAACTATTAGCTGGACCGGTATTATGCCAAACCACGCTGCTGCACCATGTGGAGGTTGTTCGGTCAGCCAGCTTTCGGCCAGTCAAATATTCATTTTGTGTCAACTAATTTCTTCCTTTAACAAATTCTCGTAAGGGATCATATAGCCCAGATATCTGCCTCTGGTTTTAACAGCTTCATCCCAGGAAATTATGACATTAGAAACGTAGATTTAGTTGAGCTAGTGGCAGCAGCCAAAGAACAAATGCATGTCGAGGGTGAATCAATGGAAACTGTCATAATGAAATTTAACTGGTAGCTACTAAGGAAGCTGTAGAAGCACATGTTGGTTATTCTGAGGACGAGGTGTTTGGTCTCTATTAACCTACTCCCAGACAGGTTCACTCAAATGTCTTGGTAATATGTCCATGGGCCACGGCAATAATTTGGTGTTTTCAGTAGCTAATTTTAAGCACTAACTGCTGAGATCACTTTGTGCTCAACAGCCTTCATTATTGACATGAATTTATAAATTGATCTCCCATCTTCCACAACACAACGTATCGAACTAATGACCAGATCCTCAGTTATGTACTCATCGACCCAGACGTCCTATTTCATTCTTGTACTGTTGCACATAAGAGCATACATTTATATATATGTATATATATATATATATATATATATATATATAAATCGACACAATCCATCTGATGAAAACTATATTTTCGCAAGTAAATTGACCCGATACTCCTGACACAAGGATAGACTTAGCGTTAGAGAAACGGCGTGAAGTCTAACAGCCGCAAAATGATTATGCCAGCTTTGTTTTAACTAATCCTTTCTTATAAAAATATTCTCGTGAAGGAGCACATAGCTCAACTGCGGACCTGTAGTTTGCATGGGGTTAACCCTATAAAACATCGAATATAAATAACACCAAAGCTAACTGGCAGATTAAAACTATAGCATTTCGCGCAAAGTTGCATAAAAGATCCAAACATTTGCAAAGAACGTGCACAACTTTGTAAAAAAGTCCAAAAGTTTGCAAAGAAAGTCCGAAATGTTGCAAAACACTGTGCGATTCGCCAGGCGCTCAGAGCCAATCCTCTGACCTTAGGTGAGTTCTCATTGGCCCGATGCCAAGGTTCGGTGCTTTAGTCTGGGGAGGTGGGCGCGGTGCCCGTTGACTGGGTGAGATTGTGAATGGACCTTAGAGGTATGCATTCGGCAGTGCAGCAGGCTTGTAGGCGCCCCCACCCTTCACGTCCGAAATGGAGGATCAGAATTGGTCTGAGAGCAATGAACAGCTGGAACATAAGCGCACGATCGAAACCATGTCCGTGATACTAACGTCGTCGGCATACTTTCTCGCGCGACCGACCTTTGGGCGCCTTCGTCAACGCTGATGACTGGCAGCTGGTGGCAACTGCAAACGACGTCAAATATCAAACAGCCTACTCCTGGATTCATCGTTCTCTTGATCAGGAGCCGAGTACTACGCAGGCGCGCAGTCGTAAGCGGATTCTGTCGGAGGAAAACGTCAATGACATATAGGATTGAATCGCAAGGGACTCAACTCTTACGCTACGGGAAATGCGAGTAGGAGTACGAGCAGAAATGGACAAGGACATTTCGAAGTCAACAATTGCACGGCACCTAGATGGTCGATTGATAACTATGAAGAACATCTATCAGGTTCCCGAGGGGATGAAAAATGAGCGAAGCAAATGGATACCCAGGGAATTCGTTCAGAAGTTTCTCCAACATGAGAGCGATGGCAGGTTCTTCATTTGGATTGACGAAGCGAACTTAAGGTTTACTGTAAATCTACTCGTTCTCTGGCGCCCAGAGAAGTGAAGGCCTATTGCAACGTTGCCAACAGTAGAGGCCCCCATTTTCATTTGATCAGTGCACTCACAATGGAAGAGACAGCGTCGATGATCACCCGGAGAGGCTTATTCACAGGTTCCCTATATCTCGAATGGCTGCGAAGCTATTTAGACAACCTGAAGTGGGAGATGGAGCTCCGGCAGGTTGTCGTGGTATGTGATAATGCATCATGTCACACAACACTAGAAGAACTGTTGTCAGTAGATGGATACGAGGGAGTGACCATACTGAGATTGAGCCCATACTCTCCGTTCCTCAATCCGATCGAGAAGGTTTGGTAGGTGGTGAAGGCCAGAGTGAAGAATGCGATGAGAGTGCACTACGAGGAAGTTTTGGCTGGGCCTATTTTGTACGTATCTGATTGTATAGTACGTCACTAGCAGCGCGTAGGGACGTGTGAATATTCACAGTGTTTTCAAACTATGTATGCACCTACACAAGTTTTGTGTTCGTACGGGGGTTGAAGCGATATCTGATGTCTAGCGCAAGGCAGTGACATGGGACCGGCTTCCAGTGAGCCATGCCCGAGTGATATGTTCAATTTATGGTACTTTTCATGCTGGTATTCGCTGCGCTGTACTCTTTCATGATCAGCCTGAGATAAGGTAGATATAGTTTCTCTGTTCGGAAAACTAGAATGTTTGGAAAGCGCATTGTAGGTGCAAGTGAGCTTGCCGGGTGAAGTAACCGTCAAATATATCACAGCATGGGATATCAGCGTGGATAGTTAAATAGTAGTGAAAATGAAATTACTGCGCACGTCATGTCAGCCTTACCAAGAGTGATAGGAACTGATAGATGCGCAGATGCGAGTTCACAAACGCGTTCATTGCCAGACAAGATGTCGTCATTGAAGCTGAGCGAATGAATCGCATGTCTAATGGAAGCCGTCTCTATGCGATGTTTGTCCGCTGTATTTGAGTGCACTGGCGCGTTCCTTCATTACCCGATTGGAAGTTGGTCTGTCAAGTTCGGAACCCACATCAGCCGGTACGGAAGCTGTACTTTAGATTTAAAAGCAACCATTCCTACAGCAAGCGCAATTTAATTTGCTTGAAAGAAAGGCCCGGATAGCTGTAAAGTATGACCTGGATACTTGCTTGATCGTTGGGATGGTCCTCGTTTGACCTAATAGCGTGCGTAAACAAATGGGGGTGTAGTTGGTGTGGATGCAAGGGCGTATCAACTATTTTACTGTCCGTGGCGGACGTAAAATTGCTGCCAATCTTGCAGTTGTAAAGCCCACAATTGAAATTGCCATTCAATATTTCGTTTCACATAACAGCAATCACAGACATAATTGTAGAGTGCTGTAGTGAATGAAGCTATTTGCATTGTTAAAATACTCGTGCTCAAAATGTACAGGCACACTTTTCGTGCATTATTTGAATACGCTAGCATCCGAGCTGAATAAGCGCTCATCGAACGCAATTGAACATCAATGGGCGAAAATCCGGCAGACTTTGTTAGCAACGGGTATGCCTTAATGTGACAAATCAAATCGCCAACCTGAACATCGGGTCACTACGCAGCCTCAGGAACTTATAGAGATGCATGCCAACTTGTTCCGGCTGATAGTGAAAACAAGGAGACTCGTAATGATTTT